CCCGCCCCGCCCCGCTGAGTACTCACACTGCCCCGCCATTGCTGAGAGAGGTCGAGCTCTTCTGCTGAAGGAAAACCCGGGCCCCTCGGAGCACAGCCGGCTGTGTCTGCTCCAGCGTGGCCTTCAGAGGGTGAAACAGGGACACAGGACCCATCTGCAGAAGGGACACAGGAGCGAGGAAGAGCTGAGGCCAGGGTGGCCCCACAGACGCCCCGCACAAGTGCCCCAGCGACCGGCGGCACGGGGCTCCTCCTGTGACGGGAAACCTGCCTGTTCCCGCCGCCACCCCCACGTAGGGGCGGGCAGGGACCTGCTCCCAACCGGGTCTGAAAGTCCTGTTACTTTGTGGAGCCTCAGTTTCCCCAGCTACAAAATTTGGGGACCGGATCCAGTTACAAATGGCGAAAAGTTCACCTCCTCGTCAACTTGGACTGACTGGCGGAGGCGGCGGGAGCCGGGGTTGGGCGGAAGCCTGAGATTTCAGGGCTGGGGCGAGGTCTACGGCAGACAAGGGGACGCAGGGCTGTGGCGTGGGCATGAGACCCACCCACCCCGGGGCGAGTCCCCGTGCGCTCTGCACACCAGGCAACTTTCTAGACAGAGCCCCACACGGCCACCGACAGCCTGGCTGTGTGGGAAGGCGTCGCCTTCGAAGGGTGATAGGCCCCAAACCACCCCGGCCAGGGTCGAGGGTGGGACGAACGTGACCGCGGGCCGTCAGCGCAGCCTCCTTGGCCCCTGCCCGTGTCAGGGGCGAGCAGCTTCCTCTCGCACCTGCCAGACAACCCCCTCCTAACGCCCCGCCACTTAGAAACATGGCGTCCCCCGGGGCTGTGCTCAGCCCTCCTCTCTCCCAGCCCGGAACCCGAGCACCCTGCCTCGGGGGCTCCCCAACACCCCGGCTCCCCAACACAACCAGGCGGCAGGCTGACGGAAAGCACTGAGGCGCGTGAGGTCTGAGCCTGGGGGCTGCAGGGCCCTGTCGTCTTCCTTTCCCACCAAACCTTCTTGGGAGGGGGTTGGGTTCCCAGGGCCGTCCAGCCCTCCTCTCTCCCAGCCCGGAACCCGAGCACCCTGCCTCGGGGGCTCCCCAACACCCCGGCTCCCCAACACAACCAGGCGGCAGGCTGACGGAAAGCACTGAGGCGCGTGAGGTCTGAGCCTGGGGGCTGCAGGGCCCTGTCGTCTTCCTTTCCCACCAAACCTTCTCGGGAGGGGGGTGGGTTCCCAGGGCAGCTGAGGGCACCGGGGCCCCCTGTGGAAATCCGGGGGCCGGTACCTGGGTCAGGCCTCCCGGGGCTTGGTGAGTCTGGTCCCTGCTGGTTTTGCTCTGTTTGTAGAAGTCGAAGATCATGAGGGCGGCGTAGACTTTCCCCACCGTCACCTCGTCGGCTGCGGTGCAGAGCGGGTGGGGGCGGGGAGCAGGAGGGTGAAGTTGGGGAGGAAAGGGGATAGAGAGGCCACAGGAAACATGGTGCGGACTGCGGTGAGTCCGCAGGCCGCCACCAGGACTCCTGGACACGCTCGGGCGGGAGTGCGTGGCTCGGCTAAAGGGCCGGGCCCCAGCCAGGCCTCCAACGCGTCCGGCTGCCACCCGCGGGCCCCCTAGAGCTGCGCTACGCCCACTACGCCGCCAGGGGGCCTCGGTCTCCCGGCAGCTGGAGTCAGCTATCTTCAAGCACCTCGCCGCCTGGTGTGGGTGACGGTGGGGTCCCCCTGCCTTTGCTCCGGGCTTCCTGAAGTGAACTGCCTGCACGAGGGGTGCCACGGCTTTGCTGTACAGCTTCTCCCGCAGCTCCTGTGCACCCCCTCTCGAGGCCAGATTTCCCGCTGGCAGAAGCAGTCTAGACACTTGAGGTGAGCCCACCTCTCCAAGGCGACCAGACAGTCACCCTCACCCAGGCCTCCCTGCTCCGCCTCTGGGTGGGACACAAAAGGGGGACTCGGTCACCCTCACTTACGTTTATGGGGTGGCACCAGCAAATCCAGAGTCTTCTGGGGCAGATTGGCCCACACGGAGGAGATCTCCTTCCTCAGCTCTGCGTCGCACTGATGCTGCGTTGTGCCGGCTGGGGCAGGGCAGGGGTGGGAACGGGGAGGGAGGTGTTAAGGGCAAGCCCACAGCCCCCCGGGCAGGGACAGACAGGGCGGGAGAGGGTGTGCAGGGGAAGGCACCGCGTGGAGGCTGTCAGGAAGGAGGCACATGAGCTGAGCACTCGAGCATTGCACGTGTGCGTGTGCGCATCTGCACCTGGATGTGTGTGACTGCGCGTCTGCATGTGTGGTGGGGGAGGGGTGGCCACGAGCATGGGGGAAGAACATGGTAGGGTCCCAGACACTCTCCATCTAAAAGCATTTATCAAGCATCCGCCACATGTCGCGTGCCGTTCTAGGTGAGGGGACAAAAGCAGAGGTGGCCTTCCTGGAGGCACTGACCGTCCATGGTGAAGGCGCAGTAAGTCACAACCCAGAGGTGAAGCCGAGGGGGCGGGAAGAGGAAACCCAGGAGGGCTGCGACTGTGGACGGGGGTCGGGAAAGGGAGGCATCTCGAGAAGGTGGTGGTGCGTGTGTGTGTGAGACCTTGCAAGTAGAAAGGGACCAGCCTGGCGCGTCACGCTGAGCCAGGAAGGCAGTGCAGCAGCAGGATAAAGTATGCCGATTTATCTTCTCTTCACATGAGGTTTATTAACTTATAATTTCCATACACTAAATCCACCCTTTAAAATTACCCTGTGCTGAGGATTTTGGTAAAGGCAAACAGTTGTGTGCCTGCCGCCACAACGGAGGCGTGGGACGCGGCACCACCGCCAAGGCCTCTCTGTGGCCGGCCCCGCGCCCTCTCCTGGCCCCTGGCAGTCGCTGATGTGTTTTCTGTCTCATCGCTGTGCTTTCTCCAGAATGTCACATAAATGGCACCACATATTGTGTTGGCTTTTGGGTCCGACTTCCTTCACGCAGCACGAAGCACCTGAGATTCGCCCGCATCCTGGGCTGGGTCAGCGGCCTGTCTGTGTGTTCCCTGCCAAGTCCTACCTCACTGTGTGGCCACACCAAGCTTGTTTACCCACTCACTGGTGGACATTCGCGTTGTGTACAGTGTGGGGTGATTACGAATGAAGCCATAAACATTTGCATACGGGTTTTTGTGTGGATGTTTTCATTTTGTCCCACTTTTTTTGATTTCTTTAATGATTTTATTGATATTGAGTATCTTTCTTTAGACATGTTTATTAGCCTTTGACATGTCTTCTTTGGTGACATATCTGTTCAATCATTTTCATTGCATTATTTTCTTACTGCTGAGTTGTGAGAGACCTTCATACAGTCTGGAAACCAGCGCTCTGTCTCTCAGACATGCGTTTCACCAGTATTTCCTCAGAGTCTTTGGCCTGTCTTTTCATGTTCTTAAGTATCTTTTAAAGTTTTTAATTTTGATAATGTGCAATTTATCAATTTTTCTTTTATGCTCAAGCTATTTGTGTCTGAAAAAAAAACTTTGCCTAACACAAAATCACCAAGATTTTTCTCCAAAGATTTTATAATTTTACACTTATGTCTGTGATCCACTTAAAGTTAACTTTTGTGGAAGGCGAGAGGTACGTGCTACAGACTGAATCGTGTCCCCCCCATGGGTTGAAGCCTCAACCTCCAGTGTGACTGTTTGGAGATGGGGCCCATAGGAGGTGATCAGGGTGAAGCGAGGGCCTCAGGGTGGGCTCTGACACAGGCTCAGTGTCTCTAGAAGGGAGTGTGCTCACTTCCCACACACACTCCGGGAAGGCCACGGGGGATGGTGCCGTAGGAAGGTGGCCGTGTGTAAGCCCGGAGAGCAGGCCCCAGAATGAACCCTACCTTCCTGGAGCCTTGGTCTTAGATGTCCACCCTCCAGACTGTGAGGAATACACGTCTGGGTTCCAGCCCCTCGGTCACGGCACTTTGCCGTGGTGGCCTGGGCAGACCACGGGAGTGAACGTCAAGGGTTCGAAGTTCTGGCACTGCCTGTTGAAAAGATGGCCTTTCTTCCACTGACTGCCTTTGCACATCACTGGAAATCAGCTGGCTAAATAAGGGTGAGTCCCTTCTGAAGTCTCTGCTGTTCCAATGATTACGTCTCCACCCTGTCACCAACGCCACATGCCTTGATCCATGGAGCTTTATAGAAAGTCTTCAATTCAGGTAAGGTCCGTTTTACAACTTGGTTCTTTTTTCAAAATTGTTTCTGTTACTCAAGTTCCTTTGCTTTTCTATGTACATTTTAGAATTGGTTTGTAAATTTCTAACCCAACAGCTTATTGGAATTTTGACTCTGATTCTGTTGATGAACATGTGACAAACTGACATCATAACAACACTGAGTGTCCTCATGCATGAACACGATGCACTGCTTGATTAATTTAGGTCTTCTCTGATTCCTTTAGTCATTGTTTTACAATTTGTAGCATAATAACATCACACACATATTCTTTAGTGTTTCCAGCAATACAGAAGTAGTTCATGTTTTTGGTGTGACTTTAATGGAACTTTTCCCCATTTCAACTGTTAATTGCTAATATGTAGGAACACATTCACTTTTGGTATACTGACCTTGTATCCTGAGACCTTGATATACTTTTGTATTAGTTCTAGAAACTCTTTCATGGCTTAAAACAGTAGGAATTTATTACCTCAATTCTGGAGGCCAGAAGCTCAAAATCAAGGTGTCAGAAGGGCTGTGCTCCCTCCAGTGAGGGAGGGCAAAGACCCCTTCCTTGCTACTTGTTAGCTTCTGGGGGCTCCTCTGAACCCTTGGGTTGTAGATGCCTCCATTTTTTAACCTTTTATTAGACTTTTTGCGATTTTCTGCAGAAAATAGTCAATTGTGAATAGAGGCAGTTTTACTTCTTTCCAACTGGTTCTCCTCTTATTTTTCTTGACTTATCACAATGGCAAGGCCTCAAGTATGATGTCGAATGAGAATGGTGACAGCGGACGACCTTGTCTTGTTCTTGATCTTAGGATCTTATAGGCTTTTCGTAGCTATATTGTATCAGACTGAGGAAGTTTCTTTTAGTTTCTAGTTTATGTAGATAATTTTATTTATTTTTATTTATTTATTATTTTTATGCCTACAGCATCCGATCTTCCTAGGTGGTCTCCCATCCAAGTACTAACCAGGCCCGACCCTGCTTAGCTTCCGAGATCAGACATCGGGCTTGTTCAGGGTGGCGTGGCCGTAGACCACGGACTGTGGTTCCACCGGGGCGCGAACCCAGGACCTTCTGCGTGTAAAGCAGATGTGCTCACCGCTGCACTATGGAACCACCTCCGTATGAAGATAATTTTTAAAAACATGAATGGATGTTGAATTTTTTCAAATGCTTTTTCTGCATGTATGGAGATGATGATATAGTTTTCTTTTTTGGTATATTAAATTGTATCAATTGACTTTTAAACCTGAACCAACCTTACATTCCTGAGATAAACCCTACTTTTGTCATCATTCATTATTTTATACGACACATGTACATGGCTAGACTCACGTTTGCTAGAACCGTGCTGAAAATATATGTGTCTGTATTCATGAGCGATGCTGCTCTGTAATTGTCTTTTCCTGTCCTGTCTTTGTCTCGTTCTGGTATCGGAGTAATGCTGGCCTCGTTTATCTCAGAAATACCATCTCCTTCCATTTTCTGGAAGAGTCTGTAGGGAATGGCATCACTTCCTCTATGAGTACTTGGCAGACTTCACTGATGGGACCAGCTGGGCAGGGGTTCTCCTTGCTGGAGGGTTCTTAACTATAAACTTAATTTCTTTAATGGATTTAGTACCACTCAGGATAGCTATTTTTTCCAGGTTACCTATTCTTGAATGCGCCTAGTAGTTTGTGTCAAGGAATTTTTCCATTTCTTTTAAATTGTTGATGTTTTTGACACAAAGTTGTTCATAAAATGTCCTTGTTACCCATTTAATGTTGACAGGATCTGTGTTGATGTTTATGCTTTCGTTGCTAATGTTGGTTGTCTTTAGTCTTTTCGTCTTGATCAGTCTGGCTAGAGATGTAGTAATTTTACTGGTGACTGTGAACATGGTCGTTCCGGCCACTGTGCTGAAGGGAGTCTGCGAGGGCCAGGGCAGACCCGCGAGGGGGCTGCTGCGACCGCCGTGGCAGGAGCCGGCGGAGGCACAGCGGAGGGACGCGTCCGCGGTCTGGTGGGGTGGCGACCGAAGCGTCAGAGGTGCCGGTAAGAGATGTGGCTCAGAGACGGGGTGAGGAGAGGAAAAGGAGATGACAACGACTCCCGGGGCTCTGTCTAAGCCACTGGAAGGACAGCCCCCCTGATGGGGCGCGAGGGCTAAGGGCGCTCTCTGAAGCTCCAGTTTGGGCAAGAAAACTTCGGACAACGTGGGGGGTAAGCCTCCTGCGGGCACACGGGCCTGGACGCCTGGGCTAAAACCGTGAAACTGTCGTTCACGATGTTTAAACATGGACGGAGGGCAGGTGACAAAGACAGCGCTCAGACACTGGGACATGTGAGAAACCAGAGAAAGAGAAATGAAAGAGCTTCAGAAAGAAGGCGACTGGAACCGAGAGGGGCTGCAGACCAGTCTGTGAGACCAGGGCTGAGAACGGGGAGCGCCTGGGGGCTCAGGCGGCGGCAGCCCCGAGTGGCAACTCAAACCCGGCTGACCAGGAGCTCGCTGCCACGAAGGAAAGAAAACAAGAGGGAAGTCAGAGAAGGGGCAGAGAATGCTCTAGAGATGGGAGAAACAACAGCATGTTCATGTACTGAAACCCATGCTCCAGCAGAGGGGAAGCTGACGGGCCAGGGAACCGGGCAGATGGGGAAGAACCCGGTGTGCAGGGCGGGCTGGCTCGCCGTCCATCACAGAGCTGGCTGAGCTCAAGGCCAAGGACGGTGGCAGAGGGGCAGTGCAGGCCCCCCCCGAGGACCCTAATTTTCTCCTCACATGAGCGTGACGGTGGGGAGGACATGCTGCAAGATCGTTCTCTCCCTGATTTGGCACAAGCTCCGAGGCCCTGTCGGCAGGCCCAGGAGAGGGTCTGGACAAGGGCCGGGCTGGCTCCAGGGAGGGGACGAGGCACGCAGGCTCTTCACCCAGGGTGGTGCGGCCTGTGTGGAGCTGTGCCAGCTGCGTTCTGACTCCAACACGCAACAGCTCCAGCTCACCTGAACAAGCCGTTTACCCTCACGACACTCCGCTCCCTCAGGTGACAGGGGAGCACGCAGTGCTAACGTGCAGAATGGCCATCAGGGACAAGGTCGGCGCCCAGCACGGGCACATGGGCAGCCGACTCGAGCCCCTCCACGCAGGCCGCGCCTGGGGGTGGCTCCCAGCGTAGGCCGGCACCCTCCCGCCGAGGCCACCAAGCTCACCTGGAGCCAGCTTGATCTCCAGTGCGGTCCGGATGAGGGCCATCAGTGTGGACGTGAAGTGCACGGTCATGTCCTCACTGGAGATGGGCATGTTCATGCGGACCAGGCGCTAGGGACAAGGGGCAGGTCAGGGCCACACCTGCCGGGTCCCCCGCCACCTGGCCACACAGTGCTCAAGGCCCCAGAGGGCTGGGCTGGGCTTCCTGGGGGGACCCCTGCGGGTGCTGGGGAAAAAACCGGTTGGGCAGAGGGAGTTTTGCCAGCATTCACCCGCCCACCCCCACCTCGCGTGGCCTGAGGATTCTCCTGGCTGCAGAAAAGCGGATGTCCAGGAAAAGACTGTGCCCCGGGGTGGCCGGGCGCCCAACCCTATGAAAGACCGGGCAGCTCTGAAGCCAGAGGACCCCTGCCCACGGCCTGCGGCTGGAGCGAAGCCACGGCCTTAGTTGAGAAGGGAGAGGTCTGGGCCTGAGGTGCCTGGGGCAGCCCGGACAGGAGGGAGGCCCCTGTCCCCACAGCACTGCCCAGACTGAGCCCTTCCACTCAGTGTCAGGTCCAGCTCCAGCCCCAGGCTGGCAGCAGCCTCTCACCACCCAGCCAGGGGCCAGGAAGGGGCCCTTGGTGCGTCCCGCTGGAGGCCGAGGGTGCCTCAGACACCAGCTCCCCCTGGAAAGACCCGGGAGAGGTGGGGCCGCACAGGGCCTGAGCTCGGCCAGCAGCATGGGGCTGGTGGGGAGGGCTCCAGGCCGGCCGGGGCAGTGTCCACAGCTTTGCTCCTATGTCCCGCCCCATGAAAGGTCCCCTCTCCTCTTTTCAGTCCCCAAGGACAGAACAGCTGGGTCTGTAAAGGCTTGTCCAGGCACAGGCAGCAGCTGCCCAGAGCCGGAGGCTCCACGGACTCACCCACTGCAGGAGGGTAGCGTCTCGGGTGTCTGGGTTATCCTGAGCACAGAGGGGTGCCAGGATCCACCTGTCCTTTCCCAGCAGCCTCTCGTCCCCTTCCACAGAACAGGAGCTAGAGATGGGGGCACAGGCCCCACCCTGGGGCTGCCTGTTCTCTGCCGGCCTGCAGTCTGTCACGGGACACTCCGTCGTCCCTTCTCGGGGGAGGCACCCTGCCTCCAGCCCTACCTCCAACATTGTGGCCCCAAATTTAATCCTCAGCCTTTTGGAGGAGGGTGGCTAGAAACAAGAACCCAGACTGTCCCCCCGAATGCTGGCAAAGCCCCGCTCAGCACATCCAATCATGGGCCCAGGACCTTACATGTCACTTGTGTGATGCACACCAGGAAAAACAGCAACCAGCACTGATGGCAGTGGGGATGGGGGGGTGGGGTGCAGAGGGCCCCTCTTCAGGGGAGCTGGGGAGTCAGGGACCCGGGAAGAAGCAGCAAAGCAGGTAACTTCCAAGAGAGGGGGCTCTGTCCAGGGCACTGTCACCCAGAGGGCTTAGAGTCTCGGGGGCCAGGCCAGGACAGACGGACAGAAGTCTGCCTGGGCCTGGGCCCTCTTGGCCACAGCACTCTGTGTGTCTCCCGGACGGACCTTGCAGCCTTGCCAAGCCACTGCCACCACCCTGAGGCCACCCTAGCCTCTCTGTGCCCAGAGCCTCGGAGCTGGTCAGCACAGCCAGGGAGAGGCTCCCCAGGCTGCTCCATCTGGCCCTGCTGCCCACCCCGGCTGGGTGTCAGTGCAGACAGAGCTCTCCTTCTTGGGGACAAAGCTACGGCCTTGCATGCAGGGCCTCCAGGCAGACACAACATCATGCCAGGCGAGGGAGGGCTGAGGAAGACACCAGAGACATCTGTGTGTGGCTTTGAAGAGCCACTCAGCTTCCGAGGCTATGCTGAGCCAGGTGACAGACACGGGTCCCAGAGACCAGAGCACAGAGACAGACAGCGTGGACAGGACAGAGAGACAGAGGCTCTAGTGGGAGCCTCTCCGGGAGGGAGGGGCGGCAGGGCGGCTCCAGACATGCTGGCCGGGTGCAGGGCTGGAGCCGACTGTCTTTGCTGGGGCCACGGGGGCTGTGGGGGGGCTCTCGGTGGGTGGGTGCTGGAGAATACAAAGGGGTGACCAAGGGTGCACGGGCAGGGAGAGCAGGCTGGAGGCTGGGCTGTGACTGCTTGTCGACTGGGGGCACCTAGAGGTGCCCTCAGATGGCCCTTCCTGTGACTCCCGTCCCGCATTCTCCATGCCACAGGGCGTCCTCCCCACTGGGCCCTGTGAGGCCCTGGGGGTGGCTGGTCCTGCCTGGGGCTGGGGGCGGTTCTCAGGTGCTCCGGGCCCCTGTTCCCCCAGGGTCAGCCTTGAGGGCTAGGGACAAAGGGGCGCAGAGTGGCACTGAGCCCAGAACAAAAGCAGTCTGTCAGGGAAGCTGGTCTGCCTAGTCTCTAGGGTGTGCAGGGGATGAGAACCGTCCTGCTGGGCTCCTTGGAGGCTCGGGGGCAGCCTGGGGACACGAGGGGCCCTGTGACAGTGTCTGGCTGGCAAGAAAGCGGAGACGGCTGGGGCAGAGAAGAGAGAGAAACAGTGAGCAGAGCGGCAGACAGACGGACGGACAAGCCCAGCGCAGGGCCGCGGGCAGGGCGGGGTTACCTTGTAGGCAACTCGAGCAGGGCACTTCTTCCCCAGCCCCAGCGGTGGGGACATGTGCTTCAGCATCTCAAACATGTCACTGTAACTGATGCGCCCACTGGAGGCGGGGCCAGGGGCCATGGCAGAGAGGGGTCCACGGAGGGGTGTGCGGGGGGCAGGGGAGAAGCAGACAAGAGAAAGGACCCAGTTAATCGCATCGGAGTCGATGCCCAGAGTCCCGCAGTGGACGAGGGGTCTCTGCTTCACGTGGGTCTCTCTGTGCCCCTGCCTGAGCACAGGGCGCGGCGGGTGACGCCGAGCTGGTGGCCATGGAGGGGGTGGGGGCTGCGTCGGGCGGCTTTGGGTTGCCAGCTTCTGACTTTACATTGCAGGAACCGCGGACAACGCCGGATCAGAAGAAGCCGCTTTGCGGTGCCGGGGTGGCCGGCCTGAGGGGACAGCGCTTTCCCTTAACACTCAGTGTGCGTCGGGGTTAGCCCGGTGCCACACGCACAGAAGAGTCTAAGGCCTGCCGCTCCGCAGGGGGCCTGAGGCCCCAGGGGCAGCTGGGGCTGACACTGGAGGCTGGAGGGGCGTGGCCCGGTGCCGCTCTGGCCCCTCCTGACAGTGTGACGGGGCAGGGCTGGGACCAACACACCGGCTCAGGCTCCAGATTCAGGGACGTGTCTGGGGCCGATGACTACATCTTCCCAGGGCAGACAGGACACCAGGCCTGAAGCCTCACTTCTGCCTGTGAGACACCTGCTATGGGACCTGCCTGGGGTCCCAGAGACACAGACAGGTTCAGGCCACTCAGGAGAAAAAGAGAATAGCCAAGGGCCAGGGCTCTCAGCCTGGGCTGTGGGGGTCAGTCAGGAGCGGGAGCCGGAGGCTCCTCTGGACCAGAACCCCAGGGCTGCTCCTGGTCTGCCTGTGCCCACATCCCACCCTCCTGGCCCTCGGCCTCCAGTCTTGCTGGCCATCCGCCCACCCTCAAGAGCTGGGAGCAGAGCCAGCTGAGAGGCTGACTCCTTGGCACAGGTGATGCCTGGTCCCTGGCCCCACCCAGCAGTCAGCTGCGGAGCTCACAGCCCAGCCAGCCGTTTTGTGTGCTCTGTGTCACAGGCTGTCTGTCCCCAGCCAGGTGGAGGGGTCGGGAGATCACAGGGTTGGGGGGGACAAAGTCTGGGGGGGCAGGGTGGGAGAGGAGGGGTGCCAGTCATGCCCACACCAGGCGGGGTGGGTGCCGTGGCGGCACGTCGGGCAGGAAGAGCACGGACGAGGCTCTGAAGGGGCAAACCTTGTAGGCCACCCTACGAGGGCAGTTCCTCCCTAAGCCAGCGGGCGGCGCAATACAGCGCAGCAACCTGTGCACGTCCTTATAGTGAACCCGGCAACTGGAAAGGAAGCACCAGAGGTTACAGCGAGGACGCAGGGCCCGCCCCGCCCGCCCCCCGCCCTGTGCGGGAAGGCGTGCGGGTGCAGCCGGGGGCGCTGGGCTCAGGCTGCTCCATCAACCCTCAGATGCCGGCGGAGTAAACGCGTGACCTGACACTGTCACTCTGACTCAAGACCTGTCCTACTGTCTATGCAACAATGTCAAGCTCCTCGTTGAGCCCGAATCCCAACCAGCCCGGGCCTTTCTCAACCAGCCCGGCCGTCAGCCTCTCCGCAACGCGGGCCCCTCGCCAGCCGGACACAGTCGGCCTCCGTTGCCTCCACCGTCACCCCCCCTTCTCTAGATCCCAGTCCACCCTGCCCTCCCTTGGCCCAGTGCCACCTCCTCTGACTTACCAGCCAGACCGGCCCCTCTGCAGACACCCTAAGGTGCCTCGCCCTAAGGACCCTGCAGGGTGGAGTGAACCCCACACCCCAGGACACGCAGATGCTCGGGACACGGACTGTACGGACGGATGGGTGTAAAGACAGGCAGACACTGTTCACAGTGGGTGTGACTGTGATTCCCCTTCAAGCCTACATGGCACCACACAGTGTTGAGGCAACAAGGGGGCCAGCCCCAGAAGCAGTACTGAGGTGCACACCACGCACACATGCACACATGTATACACACCAGCATGCACACACAGCCCTGTGCACACACAGCACACATGCACACACGTACACATGCCAACATGCACGTGCAGCCCTGTGTATACACACATCAACATGAACAAAACCCCGCGCACACACAGTGCACACACACACCAGCATTCACACGCAGCCCTGTGCACACAGTGCACACACATGTACACTCACCAGCATGCACATGCAGCCCCATACACACATGGCACAGACATGCACACACATATACAGAAACACCAGCAAGCGCACAGAGCCCTGTACATACATGGCACACAGACAGACACATATGTACGCATGGACACACACACAGACACACAGATATACGTGTACATGTGTGCACCAGCAAGCACACACAGTGCACACAGACACACATGTCACACACAGCCCTGTGCACATATGCATATACCAGCATGCACATGCAGCCCCATACACACATGGTGCATACAGAGACACGTGTACCCACAGACGCATGTACACATAGACACATGTGTACATGTGTACACCAGCAAGCACACAGTGCACACACGCACACACACCAGCATGAACACAGCCCTGTGCACACACTGCACGTGCATGCACACGTGAATATGGATGTGCCACAATCACACAGCCACAGGTGAGCACACACACACGAAACGTGGAAAATTCCACGAAGCTCTGTCCTTTCAAAGTCTCCCAAGAGTGAGGAGACGGCAGAGTGGTCACGTGGGAAATAAAGATGACCAGGTCCTTGCACCTGTCCCGCCCAAGATGTGGGTCAAGACCCACTCTGCCCAGCCATCTGGAAGTGCTCTGTGTCATCAGCCTCGGCCAATCATGGGTGCAGCAAGTCCGAGTGTCAGCTGCGGGTCCCACCTGTGTCACCTTTGGGGTGCAGCTTGCATCTCGCCATCGACTCCTGCCTGAGCATCTCTTCACCGCAGCCGACTGCCCTGGCCTGCCAGGGGCTCCAGCTTAGACTCTGGGTGTGGGCAACAGTCTGAGCCCTCCCCGCACACTCGCAAAGCCAGTCTGGCCTATGTCCACCGCGTGTATGTCCCAATTCGGTGCCACCCGCGGCCAACCTGGGAAGTCCTAGGTGTACAGTGCACGCAGGTCCGCCCTGACCTCCTTTGCCATTAGCCCGAGCCCCGCCCTGAACTATCAGCCTCTGGCAGCACACTGCCCTCTGGAACAGGTGCCCAGAACCAGCAGCATCTGAGACACGATTGGGTGCCCCTTCTCCAGCGAACATCGACCCTGCTTCGTGGGGGTGTCTGTGGCTCCCCGCCCAAGAAGGACCTGACCTGGCGTGGTCAGTCTGCCCTCCGGCCCTCCTGGGCCCTGCTGGGCAGGGAAGCATGAGGCTCGAGCCTGTGGACTCTGGCACTTGTTCTAGGCATTGGGTGTGGAAAGTGACAGGTCTCCCGAGGCCACAGAAACGGGCACGCACACACACAGCACACACACGGTGTGCCTGTCCTGTCCCCCGCGATACAGAACACCCAGAGACGCCGGGGCCTGGAGTGCCCGGGACCCCTGGTGCAGCCGGCGGTTCCGGGACTCGCCCGGTTGGGCAGGGCCTCCCGGGGCCTCTGCATCTTCCATGGGCCGGGCCACCCCGGAGCTCCCTCGTGCCGAGCGCTGGGGAGTGAGACGCCTTCCCACTCACTGACGCCTCTGCGTGCCCGCCGTGAGCCAGGTGCTGAGCGGGCCTTTGCCACACAGGCAGCCAGGTCCCTTGGCCTGTGTCCCCCGCTCTGCCTTGCACCACCGTGACTACCCAAGTCACCGCTTGAGAGAGGCGAACGAGTGAGTGCCGAGGGAACGGGCCGATGGGCAGAAGGGACTCATGCCGCTTGGCTGGCCGAGGAGGAGCACGGCTGCATGTGCGGACTCTCCCCGCGAACGTCTGACAACCCCGGGCCCCAGGCCATGCCCTTCCCGAGACGCCTGCTCTGTCACTCACACAACACAGAAGCCTCTCACTGTGCCTGAAGGCTCATACACATTCTAGACCCTTCCTGGTTGCTCGTTCCATTTCAGTAAAACGGCGCCAAGCCCCCACCACTTGCGGCCTGAGTTGGGGACGGAGGTGCACGTTGGCCCTTCCCTGAGGGAGGCGGCAGACAGCCCTGAGCCCATGGGGACAACATCTGCGGCCCTGAAGGCCTCCAAGCTCCATGAGGGTGGTGAGGCCTGAGGGACGGTCCCTCCGCTGTGTCCACGATCTGCCACCAAGCCCTCCACAACCCCTTACATGTGAGAAGACAGTGAACAGCTGCTCAGCAAGAACTTTGGGGTCTCACGAACGCCCTAAAAACCTCCCGCGACCCCAGGCAACATCCTGAAGGCTGGACTGAGGAGCTCAGAGGACTTCTCAGCCCGGGGAGCTGGAGAGCAGCGCGTGGGGAATGAAATGGAGGGAGCCGCCCAGGAGGGAGGCCCCGCACGTCCTGTGTGGAGAGGGTGCAGCCCTGGGCCCCGGCCAAAACTCGAGGGGACGCAACGCGCACCTGCCACCTGCCTCCGTCACCCGGCCCGGCCCTGACGTCCGTGGGTCCGGCCCGCTCGGGATTGGGGGCAGGCCGGCACACTCACCACGCGGCCGGGTCGTACTCGGCCCAGACGCGGATGAACTCGTCCAGGTGGTGCGGCCCCAGGATGGACGAATCCCGTGTGAGGTACTCGAAGTTGTCCATGATCACAGCCACGAACAGGTTCAGCATCTGCAGAGCAGGAGGAGGGCTGACAACGGGGCCTCAGACAGCCTTCTCCCCCACCTCTCCCCCTCCAGCCAGAGTCTGCATGACACGATCAGGGTGGCAGAGGTCACGGACCAAGCCGGAGCCTGCCCAGCCGCCTCTGCCTGTCCCCAGCAGCAGTGGACGCTCCGGCCCAGGCCTGGGCCCTAACCTGGAATGCAGTCCTCGGAGGCTCCTGCCGCTCAGCTCCACCAACATCCTGCACCCGCTCCACCCCGCTGTCCGGGTTAGCCCCCTCCCACTCTGTGACCCCAGCCTCCTCCCCTCTCAGTTAGCAGCAGTGACTCTGGAGGACGAAGTTTGCTGACAGGAGGCCAGCAGCTGAGTAACTGACTCAAAGTTCACGTGCACCATTAGCCGTTTCAAGTGCACAGCTCAGTGGCCCTGACAGCATCCAGTGCACTGCGCAACCACCACGCTCTAGTCTCGACGTCTCTTCGTGACCCCAGGAGAATGCCTTGTGCCCTCGCCCCCTCCTTCCATTCCCACCAACCTGCTCTCTGTCTCCAGACCTGTCTACTCCACACACTCCGTGACAGGGAACCACACGGCACGTGGCCTTCTGCGCCTGGCTTTTCGCTGAGTGTCTTTTCGAGGTTCACCTGTGCTGCAGTGCATGTCGGTTTCCTTCCCCATTCTGGCTGGACGATACTCTGGCATAGGCCGACACCACAACACGCATTCGGGTGGTTCCTGCCTCCTGGCCACTGTGGGCATTCGGGTGGTTCCTGCCTCCTGTGGCCAAAGCCACCATACGCACTCACGTGCAAGCTTCTGTGTGGACCCCTCTCTGCGTTTCTCTGGAGTGGAATTGCTGGGTCACACGGTAATTCTATGCTTAATTTTTTTGAGAACTTCTCAGCTGTTTCTCACGGAAGTTGCCGTGTTTTACATTCCCACCAGCAACCTACAAGAGCTCCTAATTCTCCATGTCCTGGCCAACACTTACTACTTTCTGTTCTTGACAAGAATGTGTCACAGCCATCCTAGCGGGTGTGAAGCAGCATCTCGCGGAGGCTCCAATCTGCACTTCCTGATGAACACAGATGCTGCATATCGTCATGGACCTGCTGGTTGCTTGTACATCTTCCTTCAAAAACATCTATTCTGAGTCTTTGACGACTTTTCTATAGTTCGTCTTTTTGTTGTTGAGCTTTATGTGTTTCGGATCCTGAAGAGCACGTGATCTGTGAACAGCCTCTCCCAGCCCTTAAACAGCATTGCTCGTCGCTGGCAGTGGCCTCGCTTTAATTTCGAGCAGATCAGTTTATCTGTCTTTTGCTGCTCGTAATTTCGGTGCCAAAACTAGGAATCTTTCCCAAGTCTGAGGTCTTGAAGATTTTCCATCTAGAGGTTCTCCTGAGAGTCCTATACTTTGAGCCTTTACGTTGCGGTCTCCCGTTGACTCTGAGTTACTTCGGTACTGGAGTGAGGCAGGGGCCACGTGGACACCAGTCGTCTCTCTACCGCTTGCTGCAGTAACGACTCTTTCCACACTGAATGGTCTCTGTACCCTCATCAGACGCCAACTGGCCGGGGGCGCTGGGGCTTGCCTCTGGCCTTCAGCCCCTCTCCACTGTCTACCCGCATGTCCATCCTCATGCCAGCACCACGCTGCCCCGCCCTGCCGTACTGAGGTACAAACTGAGAAATGAAACGGTAAGAAACGTGCAGCGCACGCTGCGGTGACCTGGCACACACGTGCACTGTGAAAGTGTCCCCGCCGTCTAGTTAACTAGCACGTCCATCACCTCACATCTTACCTTTCCTTCTGCAGGACACCTAAGCTCTAACTTCAGCAAACGCCAATTACACGCCAGCGTCACCGACCAGCCACCACCCTCGGGCGCCCTTCGCCTCGAGCAGAAAGTGGGCCCCTCGGCCGCCCTCGCGTCCGCGCCCCGGCTCCGGGACCTCTTTTCTGCCCCCGCTCGGAGTCTGACCTTTCGTTTAGATTCCACGTATAAGCGACGCTGTCGGAAATGGAATTCTTTTCGCTTCCTTTTCCGATCGTTCACTGCCAGTGGACAGAAACACGACAGATATTCGTGTGTTGATTTTGTACCCTGAAACTTTACCGATCTCATCTGTTACCTGTAGCGGGGTTTTTGTTTTTTGTGGGGGGGGTGTTCTTCAGCATTTTCTATATATGGAACAATGTCATCTGCAAACGGAGATAGTTTTACTTCTTCCTTTCTAATTTGGGTACCTTTTGTTCCTTTTCTGGCCTAATTGCTCCAGTAAAACTTCATCACAATGTCAAACAGAAGTGATGAAAGCAGGCATCCCTGTCTCGTTCCTATCTTTGGGCAGATTTTATTTACTGTGAAGCAGGATGTCAGCTGTGGCTTTTTCACTGAAGCCTTTCACCACACTAAGGAGGTTCCCTCCTATTCCTAGCGTGTTAGGTGTGTTTATCATGAAAGGGTGACGCTTCTTCTGCACCTATTGAGATGCTCACAGGGCCTTTTCCTCACTGATGTGATGTATCACGCTGACCGATTTTCATCTGTGGAGTCACCTCGCATTCCTGACGCATTTCCACTTGGTCGTGGTGCGTAACCCTTCTACGGTGTGGCTGGAATCAGTCTGTTAGCATTTTGTGCAGAATATTTACTTGTTTATTCATAAGGGATGTTGGTCTGTGCTTTCCTTGTGGCGCCTTTGTCGGGCTTTCGTTTCGGGGTAGTACTCATATCAGACAACGCTTATCCACGCATCTGTCGATGACACCGTGGTTGCTTTTACCTTTAGGCTGTCGCGAGTAACGCCGCTCTGAACGCGTGTGTACAAATATGCTTTCCAGGCCCCGCCTTCCAGTCCTGGGCCAGACACCCAGAATGGAACTGCTGGGGCGCACCCTGATCTGTTCTAAGTGTTGGAGGAACCACCGCAGCGGCCGAAGCACTTACCTTCTCACCAGCAACGCGCAGGGCCCCCTCGTCCCCGCGTCCCCGCGTCCCCGTCAACACTTATCTTCTGTTCTGTTCTGTTCTGTTTTTGTCTTTCCTGACAGTGATCACAATCGGTACGAAGGTGCCTCTTATGCGGGCTTTAATTTGCATTTCCATAACGATTGGCGATATTGAGCATCTTCTCATGAGTTAATTGGCCACTTATACATTTCCTTTGGAGAAACAGTCATTTAAGTCCTTTGCCAATTTTTATATGGTTGTTTTTCTTGTCGAGTTGTAAGAGTTATTTATATTTTTAAAATATTAGCCTCTCGTCATATATATGATTTGCAAATAGTTTCTCCCATGCCTTGGTTTGCCTTTTCACTTTGTGGATAGTGTCTTTTGACACATAAAAATTTTTAATTTTGAGTAGTCCAATATGTCAATTGTTTTCTTTGTTGCTCACGATTTTGTTGTCACACCTAAGAACCCTTTTCCAGATACAATGTCGTAAGAACTGCTCCCAATGGTCCCTTCTGAGATTTTTACAGTTTCAGCTTTTACATGTAGGTCTTTGATGGGTTTTGAGTTAATTTTTGCAGATGGTGTAAGGTATGGGTCTAAATTCATTCTTTTGCATGTGGATTTCCAGTTTTCTCAGCATCATTTGTTGAAGTTTATCTTTTCCTCATTAAATGGCCTCAGCAGCCTAGTCTTTTGACCATTATGTGTTTATTTCTGGGCTCCTTGTCCTATGCCATCATTCCATGTGTTTGTCTACATGCCAGTATTATGCTGTTTTGATTACCAAAGCTTTGAAGTAAATTTTGAAATCGAGAAGCGTGACACCTCCAACTTTGTTCTTTTTAATTTTATTTTTTTTTTTAATTTGGCTATTTGTGGATCCTTGAGATTCTGTATGAATTTTAGATGGATTTTTCTGTTTCTGTAAAAAAAAATAAATAATAATAAAACCACAGGTGTTGATAAGGATTGCATGAAATCTGTAGTTTGCTTTGGATAGTATTGACATCTCAGCAGTATTAGATCTTCCAAACCATGGCCATGTGATGTCACTTCATGAAACGGTTCTCTCCCTTCTCCCAGCAATGCTTTCTGGATTCCAATGCACACACACATCCTAAACCTCCTCGGTTAGGTTTACTCCTAAGTATTTCATCGTTTTTGACGTTATCGTCAATAGAACCGTTTTCTTCATTTCCTTTTTGTATTGTTCATTATTAATGTATAGAACACAAGTGATTTCTGCATGTTGGTTTTGTATCCTGTAACTTTTATGAATTTGGTTTTTAGTTCAAACAGGTTTTTCTGTAAACTATTTCAGGTTTTCTACATATATGGTCATGTCTGCAAAAAGAGATAATTACATTTCTTCCCTTCTAAACTGAATACCTTTTTAAAGCTTTTATTCCTTTGTTTGCTTGATTAATTGCTGTGGCTGGGACATCCAGCTCCATACTGAACAGAAGTAACAAACAGGCACCCCTGCCTTGCTCCTGATCTTAGAGAAAAATCTTTGAGTTTCTCATCACTGAGCATGCTTGCTACAGGTTTTCACATATGGCCTCATGTAAGTTGAGGTGGTTTCCTTCTATTCCTACTTTACTGAGTGTTTTTGTCAAGAAAGGAGGGTGAATTTTTTTCTAATGCTTTTCCTGCATGCATTGAGATGATCATGTGGTTCTTCCCTGCATTCTGTGGATGTGTGCTGTAGCACATTCATGTCCGTAACCCTGCAGTCCAGGCACAAACCCCATCTGATCCCGGTGTTTAACTCTTGCAACGTGGCATGAAACGTGGTTTGCTGCATTTCGTTGACGATTTCTGCGCCACTACTAGGCTGTAGTTTTCTAGTGGAGTCTGTCTGGTTTTGGTGTCAAAGTAATGCTGGCCTCACAGAATGAGTCTGAAGTGTTTCCTTCTCTTTAGTTTTTTGGAAGAGTTTGAAGGACGTTGGCATTAATTCTCTTTTATATGTTTGGTAGAACTCACCAATCTCGTCCTGGACTGTTTTTTCGTCTTGAACATGCCCCGCTTTGCCCTGCTCTCGCTGTAGCACGGACGCCCTCCCATCCCACCCCTTAAGGAAACATGGCCTGCTCTTAACGCCACGACTCGCCAGCCCCCTTCATGGGGTCTGGTGCCCGGCTGCCGTTCTGGGTGAGGCTGCCACTCTTGTCATCGACCTTGCTGGTGAGCAACACCCACAGACACGGTCAGCTACTGCCTGGCCTCTCTGTTCCCTGGCCTGCCCCCACCCACCACCATCTCAGCCCCGGTCCTGTGACCGTTTGCTAAACTTGGTCATCACCACTGTACGTTACCATTACTGCTACTGTGTCAACTTCAGATGCCCCACTGTCTGCCAGTGTCTCCTACCTTCCTCTGATACTTGTGTTCCCAAACCGCTTTGTCCACATAAGGAACTCCGACCCAGTGACCCTGCCCATCACCTCCCTCTGTCCCCAGCTCGACCCCATTGCCAGTACTAAAATCACCTACATACGCCCTTCTCTCCCTCCTGAAACAGGTATGGAAAGCCCCGAATCTGGACAGTACACTTCTCTACCCACGGTGCCACATACTGAAGGTGGCTGGAGAAAAGCGCAAACTGCTGGCTGCTCCCACTCAGCTTGCGCCCACGGAGCGGGGGCATTGGCTGTGCACCACCCGCTGGCCAGAGCGGCTGTCTGCCCGTACGCGCTCGCCACCGCTCTGCCTCTCGGACCCTCTGCAGTGAGGCTTCGGTCCCGCTGTGCGAAGAACCAGTTCTCGTGAAGGTCACCGACGGCCTGTGCCTGTCCACGCCCCATGACCGGCTCCCACCTCTGTCACCTTTCTTCGCCACCCAGCGACACTTCCTGTGGCTGACCACTCACTCCCTCCTGAGACACTCTCTTCCCATGGCTTTTGGGGTGCCCCCTCTCCAGGCTCTGAACCTGCCTCACTGACAGCTCCCTTTCCACTTCTGGCCCTCGGGCTACCCGAGCCCCCCGCCTTCCCTTCGAACCACACTCCAGGGTCGGTGCCCCTCACGAGTGGGCTGTTAACACCCACGGTCCCAGGCCCGCTCCAGAAACCCCGGTGCAGCGAGTCTGCACAGAGGCCCAGGAATCTGGACTCGGGCAGGGGCGCAAGTGACGCTTCAGTCATGGTCGTCGGTTACGCGGTGTGTGGCTGGAACATAGAAGGTTTCACAGCCCTGTGAACACACCAAACAGTGTTGACGACTTGTCTGTCCATCCAGCTTGGAGGTCTAGAGGGCATCTGTCTCCTTCGTCCCCCATGCAGAGGCTCCGGCCTCCAGTCTGGGGAGAATGGTCACTTCACCCCAAAGGAACCCAGGGCTCAGCTCTGTCCTTCCTCAGACTCAGGTTCGGTCATCGACCACGTCAGCCCCGCCTGTGAAATGCAGTCGACTCCACCCGCCTCCCGCCCTTCTGCAGGCGCCGCCTCCCTGCTCACTCCGCAGCTGTCCCGGCCAGAAGCAGGGCCCGAGGGGGTGCCTGGAACATGGGGCCACCACGCCACGCCACCCAGTCTCCCAGAGGCTCTGCTGACCAGGAACAGAAGCCGCCCGCCTGGGGCCAGCCCGCTGCAGCTCACTGGTTTCCAGTGGCTCCCCAGGCACACCGGCTGGAGTACCGCTTCTCTGTCCCCTCCTCACAGGGAAGTCCCCTTAGCCGCTGAAAACTACGTACAACTCCCACAGGAGTCACGGCAGGGCCCACGGGCGCTCAGCACCGAGTGGTCCCTTCGGGGTTAACGAGGTCATCATCCCATTGGCATGAATCGCTTGTGTGACCTCAGTCAGAATCAGACGCCAGCAGGAAATGCAGAGGACCGGAGGGGGAGTGGCCGAGGGGCGCGGGGCAGGCCGAGTGCTCACCAGGAAGGAGCACAGGAAGATGAAGGACACGAAGTAGAAGTAGGCGAAGTCGCTGCCGCACTCGCTAGCGCTGGCATGCTCGTCGCAGGCTCGGTCGCTGAGGCAGGACAGCATGATCTCGTGCCAGGCCTCCCCGGTGGCACTCCTGAGGAGAAGGGTGGCACCGTGAGCCCCGCAGAGGTCCTGGGGCGGGGGACGGGCCGTGCGACCCTCTCCTGGCCTTCCCACGGAGGGTCCCACTGTCCCGGTCTGGATAGCGGACGGACAACCACTCTGGCTCCAGGAAGACGGCGCCCCGCACCAGGAGCTGGCAGCGTGGGGGCCCTGGCGGACGCCTGGCCTGGAGCCAGCAGGCTGCGCTGATGGCTGGTCTCCGGCTGGTTCCCTCCCGGCAGGCGCCAGCCCCGTGCTCATGCAAGGTGGGGGACGCCTCCCAAGCAGCACACCTGAACAGGAGCATCAAGGCCTGTAGAAACGTCCGGAAGTTGTTGTGTCTGTTGATGCTGGAGTCGTCATCCAGGGCAATATTCCCGAACACCTGAAGAGAAGGCTGTGGGCTGAGCCCCCGACCTGACAGCAGCCCGGCAGGGCAGAAGCGGTGGGTGGGTGCGCACAAGGACCTGCAGGGCAGGGCACGGTCCTCCCCACAGAGCCACCACCACGGCTGCAGTGCCTGAAGGGCCAGTGCGTGCCCAGGGCCGAGGAACCCATGACAGCCCAGCACCTGGATGTCCCCTGCTCAGCGTGGGCTGGCCTGGCCCTGAGCGGGTGGGCTGAGTTCACACAGAAACGTCCACTAAGCGCCAGTCTGCCATTACTGCCACTCAATGACCGTGAGCAGCGCCCTTCCAGCCCAGGGACAGGACCCTGAGCGTCGCGCCCAGCAGCACCCACCTGCATGCCAATGATGGCGTAGATGAAGAAAAGCATGGCAATGAGCAGGCACACGTAGGGCAGGGCCTGCGGAGACACACGTGGGTTCAGTCCCAGGCCGGGGCCAGACGGGGCCATACACGTCAGCCGAGCCTGGATCCTCCCCGCTGACCACCCGGCCCGGCCACGGTGGCTGTCTCTGCCTCCCCAGCTGGGCTCGGGGTTCTGCAGCACTCAGAAGACACCAGCGCGTGTCCTGAGAGGCCCCTGCAGCCGCGGGCAGGTGGGGCGAGCGGGCGGCTCACCTTGAAGGACTGCACGAAGGTCCACAGCAGGATGCGGATGGTGTAGCCCTGGCGCAGCAGCTTGATGAGCCGGGCCGCGCGGAACAGGCGCAGGAAGCTCAGGTTAATGAAGTTGTTCTGCGGGAACGAGGGGGCTGCTCACCCTCTGGCACTGCCTCGCAAGGCCACCGGCCGCTGCCTGCCCAGTGCCATCCAACCACTGCCCACCCACTGCAGCCCGAGGAAGGGGGCAGAGGAGAGCCTGAGACAGTCCCCGTGCCACACCTGCGGCCACCAGCCAACCTCCCAGGTGAAGCTCACCACTGCGCACGGGCCCTCACGCAGCAGGTCACAGACCCATGGGGACAGGGGCTTCCCGAAGCAGCTTCGCGCCAGGCAGAGCCTGGATGCCAGCTGTAGCTGGGCCTCCAGCACTGACCACCTCTTGCGGGACATGGCGGGCCGGCGGTGCAGGTGCTGGGCAGGGTTGCTTGTCCCCTGAGCACCCCCACAGGGACCCAGCCCGGGCAGGTGGCACGCACTTCCTGTCCACGCAGGCAGCAAAGCCCCTGCCCGCCCGGGACCCCGCAGAGGGGCAGTCAAGGCGCTGTAGCTGGTGGACGTGTTGGTGGCCCTGCTGCATACGCTGTGGAAGCCACCTCTGCCACCCACACAGACTTCCCTGCCCCAGGGGTCCCGGGGGTCCAGCCTGCTCTCTCAGCCAAGAGCTCAGAGTCCAGCACAAAACACACCAGTGCTGCCTCCACACGACCTGGGGCAGGGCTCCTGCTCTGCCCGGGACCCTATATCACTGGCACCCCACCAGGGCCGCATTCCTGGTGGCTCGGAGACCCAGGGCCACACGCAGCCTGACAGCAGCTCCTGCCACTCTGGTGCCATGAATATGCAAGCAGCTCCAGTGGCCAACAGAGAGAAGGGCCAGACGGCGAACGAGACAGTACGTGCAGGGGCGCATGCGGGGGGTGGTGGGTGCCTCCTCAGACTGCTCTGTGGACGGGACACAGCTGCGGGGCGGGGGGACACCCACTGCTGCTTCCAGACACACTGTCTGCCACTTCGCTGAGGCATCTCCCCACTCAGGGCACGACTTCCCGACCCCCACCAGGGTGGCTGGGGGCTGGGGGCTGCCTCTGCGGCTGAGGGGCTGGCAGCTAGGCTGGGGGATGGCACAGCAGGGCTGGTCCAGACCAGCAAGGAGGCTGAAGTGGCTGCAGCCCCCATGAGTTCGTGCGGGGGTTCTCACCGCACACACAGTGGCTGGGAAGTGTCCACCGTGGCCTGAGGATGCTTGGAAAAGCCCAGCATCTCAGGAGGACAGGCACAGGGATGAAGAGGGACTTGTGTGCAGTGCCAGGAAACGCAGTGTACTGCCAGGCACAGCACAGTGGGGACAGGGCTGCCGAGCGCCTAGCCTCCTTGGGGGTCTCTGCTTTGGAACCACCTGCTCAGGTGTGGCCGAAACGGCCAGGACTGTGATGACAGCACCTGTCCAGCTCAAAGTGACTCAGGCAGCTGCTCAGGCAGCTGGCACAGACACGATTTCCTGAAGATACTGAGGAAAATGTAGCCTTTGGGTGACAAAGGGACAGCAAATGAATGAGGCCAAGGAGGCACAGTTCACCCATGTCACGTGTGCACAGATCCTGAGTTTGGCAAGTCACTCGCCGCTTTCTCCCGACTCACGTCCCCACCCGTCACCCAGGATTCTCACTTGGGCTCTAGGGGCACTCAGGAGAGGGGAGGGGGTGGCAACAGACAGACAGCCCTGGATAGGACAGATGGTGATGGTGGCCACAGATGCTCCAAGCACAGCGTGACAGGTTAGGTACACAGTGGCCGCACTGCCACGCAGGCTGCATGCGAGGGCAGGGGGCATGCGCGTGGCAGCTGCCCCATGGCTGTGCACGGCCGCCTCTGGCCTTGGCCATGCCCTTAGGGTGGACAGAGCCTGCCCCCCCCGCCCCGAGTCCCTGGCTTCTGCAGCACCTCCTTGTTGTATGGCCTCTGAGTCAGGAAAGGTGTGTCACCACACCCCCAAATTGGGAGGGCACCCTGGTCACTAGCTCCTAGACAGGTGGACATCATGTCCAGGTTTAGGTCCCTCATGAAAAGGGACTTAAAAGTGCACTGAGCCTGTGAAACACGGCCCCACAGAGGTGGTTGGCTGACCCCAGAAAGACCAGTGTCTCCTGCATCCAAGCACATCGCTGCATCTGGTCAGGGCCATAGCAAAGGGGAGGCCTCCTCAGACCGGTCACCCACTGGGGTGAGGTCCAGCCATGCGTGGAGCGCATCGCCGTCCTTGCCGCGGGGCTGACGGATGAAGGAAAGAAAACTACATGCCCACCTACAGGCCCACGCACGGCCACCAGGGGGCAGCGTGCTGGGACAGGGCATGCACGCGGTCCTGGGAGCGCGCGCCCAGCAGCAGGCAGAGGCACACGCGTCAGGCTGTGCAGCATCAAATGCCATTCCCTCGAAAACTGAGGCTGTCTGCTCCAGCCATGACGCGTCCTCACCAACGCCCACCTTCTGCAGCAGGGTCTCAAGTGCTGGCTACTCTACGTGACTCGCCAGGCACAGCCTTGAGTCAGTTGGCTCCCGACAGCTTCACTCTCAGATGCCCCTGGAGACCTGGGAGGTGGCCCCGGCTCCTGCCACCTGCACCCCACGGAAGCATGCCGACCCAGGGGCCCTGAACCAGCACTGGCCAGACGAGGAAGCCTGGGGCTCCCCTGTCCCCTGGGCGGGCCCCTCTGTCCATGCTGGTGCTGCTGAATCGTGCACAGGGTCTCCAGGAGGGACACACTAGGGGACAGTGGGGGCCAACCTCCTGTGTCTGCTGGCAATATGGGGACAGGGCAGAAGGGAGAGGGCTGTGCGGCAGAAACCGTGGACTCCACAGGGACCAGGTCTGAAATCCCGCCCTGCAACACCCCAAATTCTGAGCCAGCTCCAACGGGAAGAGCTGCCAAGGCATCTGCCTGCCTCCCGCTCAGAAGCCCACCCCTCTCCCCGCCCAAGGGCCGGCCCCAGTCAGCGGTCGCTGAGAGGGCCCCCAGAAGCCCCTGGGGATGGTGCCCAAGGCCAGAGGGGCTGGTGCAGCTGGCCCGATGCGGGGGCAGCAGCAAGGGCTCGCAGGAGCAGGGCAGATGGCGAAGCGAGGGCTGAGAACCATTCGAAGGCATGAAACCAACCGTTTCCTACGCGTGGCGTTTTCATGGGTGGGTGTGTGCATGTTATTTACAGATTGGGGTGTTTGGGCAGCAGGCGGCAACATACAGACGCAGACATGGTTTCGCAGGGTATGTTGGTTGGATGGCGTGAGTCAGCAGGTAGGTTAAGGTAAGTCAAGGACAAAAACAGAAAACAAAAGAGAAAATGAGTCATCGACACAAGCAAAAACTCCAACTCTCAATACTCCACTGGAGAATTTGGGGGTTTTGGTAACTGGGCACACTTTGCTTCGAATGCGTTGGCACGCCCTCGGACCCGGCGCGGCACGCGGAGCGGCACCTGCCTGCACCGTCCGGCGGAGATGACTCACAGACCCTTGTTTTTGTTTCCAGGCAAAGGGGTCAATGTCAGTGTCACCGCAGCCTGGAGGGCTCTCTCCAGGACCCTGCTCAGGGCTGCTGCTCAGTTCCGTTCCAACGGAACCCTGGGGTGCGGACTGACACCCAGACTTTTGCCTGAGAAAAAAAAGTGCATTCACAAAGTAGCACATGGCGTGACTGCAAATGGAAGAATGAGACACCACTAACCTGCGGATGGCTCCCTTTCGTCCCCCCACCGCAGGCAGAACAGGGGACACCGAGCCCCAGTTCTGAGCAGCAGCCGCCCGGCCGCCCCACTAGCCCTGCTGGGCGTGGGGAGTGGGTGGGGGCTGAAGTGAGGGCTGAAACCACCACACGCTGCCCACCTCGATGGTCCGGCCATAAGGGACGGACGTCGGCCACTCCAGCCTCTGGCCAGTCACCCCTCTCTGGCAAGGGGGACACCCAGTATTTGCAACCTACTACCCGGGGCATGACAGTCCCTGAGTTGAGGGGAGGCCCGTGGAGTCCGACGCAGCCAGCCTCCCGCCGAGGGCCCTCTGTACAACAGCCTGTCGGGTGACGCCTCTGAGAAGTGAAATCTGCACATACAAACTGCGCCCGACTGTCCCCAACAGGCCCGCTCCGCCCACACTCCCCCATCACAATTCGCGGTAATCCAGGTTTCTACGTGCTCAGAGCAAACAGGTGCCATTCCTGCCTCATCGTCACACCCATCTGCAGCTCAACCTTTACGTGATACCCAGAATCTGCAGCTCGTCACCCAGCCCCTCTGCCTGGCTCACTGCACCTACTTCCCCACAGGCCGAGACCCAGCGGTCAGCCCCACAAGTGTACTCCTGAGGCCTCCCCAGCCCAGGGCGCAGTCCCAGCCGGTGACTCCCCAGGCCGCTGTCCCCAGTAGCTTCAACCAGTGGCATCTGCTGAGGACCCCTAGCCACTTAGTGGGGAGGCTAGGGCTTAGTGGGGAGGCTAGGGCTTAGTGGGGAGGCTAGGCGCCCAACCGGATGGCATCTGCCTCCAGACGCCTCCCTCCCTGCTCACTTCGTCACTCCCCAGCAGTCCTAGGTCACTTACCAAATGGCAGCTTGTGCTGAACTTCTGTCTCAGTCTGTTTCTGGGAAAAATGCTAAGACAACCTGAAACGGTCAAGCTGCTTCTGCCTGTGCCCGGCACTATGCTCTCGAGGCAGGAATG